AATAGTGTCACAGATCTGATTTGATTTCTAAATGTTGTTTTATATTGATAGTGATATCACATACATGCTTAGTGACATTCAACTCCAAAATACTCTTCTTACAGCACCCATATAGAAAGGCTAGAAACATCTTTAGATTGGGAACTTGTGGGTTAACTCCTACACTATTGCCACACTCAACGGTAGCATTTTCGATAACTCCAGCAGGACAAAAATTCATTGCCACGGTCCCTGTTCCACTAGGAAAGGGGTGCCTCTTACAGGAGTTGTTTAACATGTAAGCTGTAAGGTTAAGGCACAAGCATACAATCTTTTGTCAGTGATCATCCATCTTCCTGCCAAAGAAAACACAGATGAAAACGACCTCATCGTCAAGCTGCCAGTGTAATTTGAAAAGCCACTGGTGAAGCATATTAGTAAGTGTTCATTATTGTATATAGATTATAAATTTCTTCACTTTTTTCCTTTTTCAGATTATCCACAGGCCACAATAGTTAATACTCCATTTTTGTTCCTTTTAAATCCATTTATCAGAGAAAAACACTTAAATTTTATCGATATTTCGACCCCTTAACAACTTGTATTCCCTTGCCTTTTAATCCCAGAATCACCATTAACTCACTGACAAAGCAAGAATTAAGCTGGATTTTTAGTCAGACACTGAAAGCTGAGGTAGGTGGACTGCCATGATCAAGTGAGTGTCATGAGCACTTCGAAAGGTTTTATTTCATTCCCACTGTCTTTCCAACATACTAATAAAAGATTGAAATCTTGTTTCATAAGTGAGGTAGCCTCCTATTTTATATCTGTCAAAAAAAACAGTACCATGGAGAATTTCCTTGAATGTATAGAGGCCAAGATGATTGTTTACTTTTAAAAAAATTAATAATTTTTTTTTTTGGCCGTGCCAGGCATGCATGCGCAATCTTAGTTTCCTGACCAGGGATCGAACCCACGCCCCCTGCATTGGTGTGCAGAGTCTTAACCACCGGACCGCCAGGGAAGTCCCCCAAAATTAATTTTTAAAAGGACAAGCTAAATAGACTACTATGTCCCAAATATCAAGGCTTGGGTGATTCAAAGATGTGACAGTGAACTGTTTCATGGGTCATAAGGAGTTATCTGATAAAATCCGTATTTATCAGGAATTATGATTCTAAGTTATGTGCAGGTTTCATATTTAGCTATGGGCATTTGGCCCTTTATTCTTGAAAATTGTAGCCTATCACTTGTAGTATATTTATAAAACAAAGCATTAGTCTCTGCCAACAAATAAAGTGATAAAATATGGCTGCGGCTATCCCTTTACAGTGAACCTGGGAGCTGTGTGTGCCTGTTCTCCACCTTATTATTCTTTGCTCCTTCTTTGCCAGCTACAATGAAGTTTTCAGTTAGAAATTTCCCACAGAGTTTTAAATACTTATATAAATTATTCACATATTTAAAAACTACAGACTTAATTAGCTTATACTTTTCACTTGTATCTCTAGACTCTGGGAAGTTACTCTTAATACCATTCACCATAAAGTGTAACCCAGCCTAAGGCAGGTTCATTAGGAACTGCATCCCAGAGGCCCACTACATTCTAAGGCATCCTCCATGATGTGCTTTCAGGACTATGATTTAGCAAAACTTTAATGGAATATGAAAATCAAAGTTAAAAAGTGAGCTCTCTGAAAATATTTATATTAAGAACGTGACAGTCTTTTCTCTCAAAGTATTTACCTTAAACATTTAAAGTTTTATATGTTAGCACAAAAGATGACAATTATATGAAACTTATTACCCCTCCCAGTTTTAATCATGTAATTAAAATTTTTTTCGGTGTATCATTAGAACTCTAAGTTGAAAGCTAAGAGCAAGCCATTCTCCAGGTTACACAAAATTGGATGGAGTTCCATCCTCTGAAATCATAGGGACTGGTAAGCAGTGCAGCTAAGCAACCAGTAGCACTAAGCAAGGATATTAATGGACTTTTCAGCAGGTTTTTGAAGGATGTGGGGAAGTAAAGGGAAAAATGATAAAGATAATAATAGAGGCATACTAAAGGGTCTGAAAGTTTACCATCACCAGGAAGTCCTCAGAGGCACCCATGCTATAGGTTGCCTACCTCAAATCTCATACCACATTTTCTGTTCAGTCTTATATAACATCAAGAGTTATCTGGACATGGGACAGCTTACAAATAACAATAGCACAAATTAGAATGTTCTTAAGTGCAGTTAAAAGGAGTATAATTACCGGAAGTAAACATGTTTACTTTACAACCAAGTGTACATTGACTTTAAAAGTGGGAAGTTGAAGCTAATAGAATTAAAGTATTTTTTTTTCCATACTTGGGCAGAGCCCATGGGTCTGCAAACATGTATAAACAGATAATGCATGATCATGAAATGCAAATGAAGTCCTGTTTCTATTTATGAATAGAATTTGAAGCTTAATGCAAGCACTATGCAGTTTTCAGTGTAAATTACACATCTTGTAGTAGGGCTATAGACGAAGCATTACAACCGTGATCAAAGAGATTTATAAATTTTGAATATAGTATCAATAATCTGGGTGGTTTATTATTACTTAAATGGATGCATCCCAGCAATGTCTACTGCAATAAAATTTAACCAGAATGTTTCTGTAAGATCCTTGGGCATCTGTTACAATACCCAATCCAGCCTTTCTGTAAAGTTGCTCCTCTTCTTATGCTATTGTTGGCCTCAAATGCCAGAACCTTTTGAGTTCGCTTAGTCCTATCAGAATTAGGAGGATGACATGAGAAAGTAGAGTTCTGTATCTATTCCTTTTTGGGGGTGGGGAGTGGGCAAAGGATTAGCAACTTTATTCAGCAAGCCAGCCGAACAAGAAGACAGTGGACTCGTGTCCCAAGAACCATTGCGCCTGAGTTAGAATTCAGGCTTCTTTTATACTAAAAGGGGAGGGAGTAAAGTCAAACACTTCCTGGTTCTGTTCAGCCTCCGGAAGGGATGTGTTAATTTCTTCCTCCCTGCAGTCATTCACAGGTGGGCCTGGTCAGGATGTTTCCTGTGAGCTAAACAAAGGTATTTTATTTTTATTTTTATTTTTTTTACAAAAAACTTTTATTGTATTTACAAAAAACTTTTATTGTATTATAACGTTGTGTGAATTTCTGCTGTACAGCAAAGTGACAGTTTGTATCTATTCTTTTAAACAAGTGTCTTGGATTGAACAAAAAAAAATGTAGGCCCATCAGGTCACTTTACTGCAATAGTAACACTCTGTTCAGAAATTAGAAAGGATTTACTTTGAAAGATTAAAGTAATATTTCTTGGTCTAAAACAAATCTTTGTGAATATTAATATTTTTTATTTTCTTAGTATATATTTTAGATGTTTATAACTATTTGTACCAAACATATTACTAAATATGCATTTTATGGAATTTAGCATCTTACCTTTCATACTTTTTAACTTTATATTATTACAGCACAGAACTCCCCATAAGAGTCTATGTTAGTGGAGCCTTTTCAGTGTTGTAGATCTTGTTTGATTCATTCCATTAGACTGAAAACTAACATATGTATAATATTATACACAAACACAATATTCTGAGATCTAAGTTTTATTATAAATACTTGTCATGTTGCTCTTTTATCATGGAAAATAAGCAAGATCAAGTCTTTGAGTTTCAGATTATTACTTTTCTTCCCCTAAAATCAGCAACATTTTGAAAGGAAAAACATTTTGGAGGTCTTTACAAAATAAATTTTCTATTTTAGATCTAGTCTTTCTGTAAAATTGGGAGGTAGTCAGGAGTTTGTGCTGAAACTGTAGGAAAAATAAAAATAATGGCAGGTTCAATGATTGTACTTAGTTGTATGGTTTTGCTAATTTCAAAAGCACTGATAATAATGAGGAAATAATGTTTTATATAACTGGGCATGAATAAATGAAGAAGCTAATAATGTATTACATTATCATTTCTAAGTCATTTTGTAAAAGCTTAAATAAAATAAGAACATCAAAGGGCAGCATGGTCAAACTATAGATTTTTTTTTTTAATGCAACAGAACCTTCCAAAAAACAAATTATCTAAGTCCCCTGAATATGAAATGTGGAAGAATTGGAAGTAGTAAGTTGCAGAGTGTCTCCAAGATCAAAATTATTTATAGTTCTGTTAGAAATAAATTCCGTATTTAGTATTTACACTTTGAACCTTCAAGGTTGCAGATGAGAAAGCTGATACTAAAAGGAAAAGTTATTGGGTTTTCTAGATGTTTAATTAACAGCCTCATTTTGCTCCTCCCCCTGCCTGCCCTCCTTTCCCATCAACAATTGCAAATCCATATGCTTTCCAGGCATCTCCATCCTCAGCTAGAGACAGGAATGGAAGGACTTTGCCTTTCACAAACGATGGAAGCTGAAAAGAGAAGTAGGGAGATAATAGGTTTCATTTCTCTCAGCACAGAGACTTTAGAAACAGGTGAATCCTGGAGGTGCTTTATAAAAACAGCATTTTCCCAGGTGAACAAGCTACATTTGAGGAAGATCTAAAATACATATGTATTTAGGATTTAAATATGCTTTGCACATTATTAACTTAAAGACCTAAATAACAAAGAAAAATGTACTAATATAATTTCAGGAATGAGGGACGTGTTCTGATGTTTTTTAGATGAATATGGGTCATGTCATGACTTCGGTTTTAATTTTAAGTCTTTAAAACTCAAATAGCCTTCTTATATTTGTGTGTAAAAATATTTTTTAAAATACAGGCAATGTTAAAGGGGAACACAATAGGATAAGTACATATGAACGCAAATTTTTGTCAGAAAGTTTTACCGATTTGAGCAATTCTTTCTATCAGAAATAGATATTTTCTTCACAAAGATGTTTTTTTCCCATTTGTGCCTAAAACTGCAACTTGATAACATGCACTAGGACCTGATATTTAAACAAAGTCTTACTGAGCAACAAATCAGAAGTCAGAAAAATTCTAAGTTAAAATGCCAGAATATCTTTCAATTCTTCTGTTTTACTTTATTGTTACAATTTAAACAAATTCAGAAATCTGGGGTGTTTCTGGCTACTTGAGTAAAACACACTGCAAATCCAAAGGGGAAAAATGTAAATGGAAGAAATGTCTGATTTCTGAACTGTTCTGCCCTTATGAACATGATCCTGTTCATCTCACACCTTGATTCTGAACACCTTGTCAGTACCTGCTCCAAGAAGGTCCCTTGACACTGGAGCAAGTCAGAATAACTTACTTTCAAAGCTTATTTAAGAGCAGGTGAGCAATTTTAACATAGACTTGAGATTTAAGTAGATCTGATATTATCTAGAATCCAGGCTTAAATTTTGTTTCCAAATAGCAGAAGAAATTAAAACAAAGATACCAAAACTAAAAATGCCAAGTGAGACAACAAACAATATTTCCGGTCCTAACCAAACTGCAACCCTTTCAATACAGCTTGAGGTATTTTTAAATATTTGTATAAGCTAAATAGCGCTCACAGTTTCTGAAGTTACTTTTTACTGAGATAGCTTCATATTCTCATAATATTTGACTTTCAGACAGGTTTTCTTGTACATGAAATTGGGTCTGAGTCTCCGGCCTCAGACTCATGGAAATATTGGACAGCTTTCAGTGGCAGAAAATGATTCTTGTAGTAATAAGGTTCTATTTCCCAATTATTGTGCTATTCCTAGGATGTGATTAAAAAAATAAGAAATTTGCAATTCATATAAAAGGAAAACTTGCTTAAACTTCTAAAAGCAAGTCCAGTCTGGTGGAGGTATGTAAGACATTAAATAACAGAGTCAGATTCCTTCTTAAAGATTCCAGATGAGCTTGACAACAGAGAGTTCTGGTTCTCCAACATTTTCTCCATCTTTTCTCCTCCAGTGGTTTTATTGATCTCTCTTTGCTTCTTACTATGGATCCATGGGATAAAACAAAGGACAGCACCTCCAATAAGGGGAGGGATTCCAGCGAGGTAGAATGCCACATCATAGGAGCCCAGCTTGTCACGGAGTAACCCTGGGAAGGGAAAAAACTGTCACCAAGAGAGAACAAGTATGGCTCTTGGGGTCTCAGATTAGTCACTCTGGTGGCCTACTGCCAACCTAGTATCTTCATCTCAGCAGGATAGTTCAAACATCTCAGATATCAGACATTTTTAAGGAAATGGGTCTGAAATATAAACCTTTTCTAATATGAAGAAGAAAAAGATCTCATTTCTTTAATCTTGTTGCAAGTCTGTGACAGGCCTTTGAGTTTTCCTACCAAGATATTACACGGAAAAAATATTTTCAACCAAGCTTTGGCTTTCTCAAAACCCTTCAGAGGCCATTTGGGATATTCTGACACATGGTGTAAAGGTCCTGTTTTAGCTGAAGGTGGACGGACCGTCAAGCTGAAACTTCTCTCATACACACAGACCTCAAAATGTCTATGTTTTAAACCTTTCTTGGGCCTGTTTATGAAATAACATGAAACTACTTAAAAGTATAATCCAAAATCATGAAAAATTATAAATCTAAGAGTCAGGATGAAAAAACTAGGTTGTTAAATACATTTTGGAAAGAAACTAAGGTTTGTCAGCACATGGGAGGAAAATATAAGAATATATGTGTGGTGCTCTAATAGATCCTAGGGCTCTGCTTCTAAAAACTGTCAGAATACTCCTTATTTCCAATTTCTCTAACCAAATCCAGATTTAAAAAGTTATCTTAGTGTTTTAAACTTTTACTATATAACCTAAGTTATCTGAAATGTTCTAGGAACACACTGTACTGAATATCTGACTCTGCTAAGTAAACAGCTGAGGATTTGTTCAGGTAAGTACCAACATCAAAAAAAAAAAAGGAAAAAGGTGTATGGTCATTCCAAATAGAAACCTAAAATATACAACATATCTAAATATATGCTTTTCCTATCCCCTGAATCAGAACATTCCACATATAACTGAACCTTTCATCCTTATGAACATAAATTAACATGTTTGGTTGTAATACTATGATCCCTCAGAACCTCCTGCTGTTCTTCTGCCTGCTTTGAAAGTTTCCTGTTAACGCCTTCATTCTTGATCTGTTATAGTCACTTCTAGTAGCAAACACCGTTTCTACGAAAGTGCTGCTTGTGATTTGCTGTGGACTTGGAAACCCTAACAAACTAAGCTTGTAAGATGTAAAAATAGTGTATTACCTGGGGGAGAGGGAAAGGACTGGAGGGTTTTCCCTAAAAAGAGACTGTGATCTTAAGAACTTATCTTTTATTTGGTCTGCTCAGTAGTGGTTCTGCTTGCTTGATACATGACTAGATTCCCAACTGGCAAATTTGCTGATATGTGTGGTTCTGAATATGAGAATGAATTGAACTGAACTTTCACTGAGCCACTCAGATACCAGACATAGATGACAGTACATACATTTAAATTTTATAATAATTTTATCAAATCTTATAATAATTTACAGTGGCACCCAACTAATACTGAACGTGAAACATCTTTATACTATCATTCAGAAGATTTCTAAAGGTGAAATTCACATAACATAAAATTAACCATTTTAATGGCATTTAGTATACTAACGATGTTGTACAACCACCACCTCTCTCTAGTTCCAAAATATTTTCATCACACCAAAAGAAAACTCCACACCCATTATGCAGTTACTCCCTAATCTCCCTTCCCTCCATCCTCTGGCAACCACCAATCTGTTCTCTGTCTCTATGGATTTACCTATTCTGGATATTTCACAGAAACAGAATCATATAATATGGGACCTTTTGTATTTGGCTTCTTTCACTTAGCACATGTTTGAGGTTCATCTGCCTGGTAGCATGTATCAGTACAGCACTTCATTCCTTTTTATGGCTGAATAATACTCCACTGTATGGATATACCACATTTTGTTTATCCATTCATCTGTTGACGGACATTTGGGTTGTTTCTACTAACTGTTAATTTTCATTAACTACTTCTCAGGGGGCTATGATCTCTTACACAAAGCATACATATTTAGAAATCTTTCAGAATCTTCACCTCTTCCTAAAAAGAAATCACACTGCTATTCCTCCAAAACACATACTAAGTGAAATATAGGAACTCTGAAAGCTCAAAGTCCAGAACCTAACTGCTACACATTTCACTGAGAGTTTTAGATATCAGTAAGAATAAGAGGACTCATTGGCAAATTTTTCCAACATGCCATCTACAGCTGGTCTTATTAAAGATGTTATAGATAAGGCACATACAAAGCAAGACACCAGAAACCAATAAATCGTAATATATTTAACATATAAGTGAGACTTAGGACCTACAGTAGAAAATGCTATGAATTAATATAATTTACCTGCAATGGGTGGGCCCACAGTCATGGGTATAGACATGAATCCGAGTAGAAATCCAATTGCTTGTGAGACATCCTGGGCACCAACTAACTCAAAGGCAATGGGGGCCATAATGGAAATGAAGCATCCATCGAAGAGACCCATGATGAGACAGACAGCAATGAGGGCCCCAAAGAGGCTGCACAGGGGAATCATCATGGACATCAGACCAATGAAGAAAAAGGACAGGACCTAGGACAGACACCACAATGTCAACTCTGCTCTCGGGAAAAGTGAACATCACTATTACTGAGCAACAGGCTTAGGACTTTCAAGTGGTTACTGGTCAGTCACCTCCTCAGCCCAGTTTGCCTTGATTTTATATACATAATCAACTCCCATAATCATCTCCCCCAAATTCCCCCAGCTTTCTCAATATTTCCATTAAGGGACAAGAAGAAAGTAAGGATTTTTTTTAATAAATTTATTTTTATTTATTTTATTTTTGGCTGCATTGGGTCTTCACCGCTGCACGGGCTTTCTCTAGTTGCAGCGAGCGGGGGCTTCTCTTCATTGCGGAGCGTGGGCTTCTCATGCAGTGGCTTCTTTTGTTGCAGAGCATGGGCTCTAGGCACGTGGGCTTCAGTAGTTGTGGCATGCAGGCTCAGTAGTTGTGGCACACGGGCTCAGCTGCTCCATGGCATGTGGGATCTTCCCGGACCAGGGCTCGAACCCGTGTCCCCTGCATTGGCAGGCGGATTCTTAACCACTGCACCACCAGGGAAGCCCAAAAGTAAGGATTTTTATATACTTACTTTTCTTTCCAGGCTGAAAGCTCTTTGAGATCAGAATCTGTACAAAAGTCATCTTTGAACTACATGTTTTACGGTTTAAGGATCTTGTACCTGGGCACTGCTCAATACATATTTGTTCTTTGAATATCAGCTCAAATTCACTCATCAAACATGATTTAAAAATTTTACCCTCGAAATTATATGCACTTTACTGGTATTCGTCCTCTGCATAATGAAAATATGCCAGCCAGATCCGTCCTTCACATCACAGAGCTTCCAGTTTGGAGAATACAGAGATGTACGTTTTAGATATTTAAATAATCAATTTAGAATATAGTGCCTGCTAATATTCCAGACATGGTGAGCATAGGTAGATCAAGGGAGAGAGATTAAAATAAGTAACTATGATTTGATATTCTATAAATGTGTACTGAATTTTGATTATTCAAATTCCAATTAAATTTTGACCGTCAGAGGAAATATATGATGCATAACATGCAGCGAAAACAGTGAACACGTTCTGCTATGACATCCTAAGAACTAATTTATATAATCCAGTTTTGTTTACAGTGTAAATCAATGACTATTATTGCCAAAGAATATTCTCAAACATTGTCTTTTGATGCTAAGTCATAGACAGGCCCTATTTAAGCACCCCAGAGTTAAGGCTGAGAAATATTTTGCACCACAGAACACTTTCATTTTAGCGTTAGAGTAATTAATAGAATCAAACACTTGATTTTCCCTGCCATTTGGTAGCTGCTGTGCTATGTTCTGTGTACGGTGCTACGTGAATAACACCTGGTTCCTACCCTTGGGTTGTGGGGAGGTGACCATGTAAATAAATAAATGCACATGAAGCGTTCTAGATGTTGCTGCTGTTGTATATTCAAAGTATGGTGGGTACAAAAAAAGGAAGGAGTGGCCCATTCAATAGCTTTTTTAGGCAAAGAACTAATTAAAATTGGATCATTCACTCATTAGTGGAAGAAATGTTTTAAAAAGAATCAGCTTTTTAAAAAAGTATTCATATAATAGCAACTATTATTTATTTAATGTTTATGAAATGCCAGGCGTTTTTCTAAGGACTTTAGATCGTGATTCTCGTAACAGTTTTATGAGATGGGTACTAATGTTTTCCCCGTTTTACAGATGAAGAGAATGATGCTGGGAGGTTTAGTAACCCTGGATGGAGCCAGCCTGGAACCCATGGTCTGCCTGGGCAGTAGGTAGCAGGGAACGGTGGAACAATTTCTAGAGGGTACCCTCCGATGACAGTGGGGCTGGGGAGGAAGGGAGAGGCCACATAAAGCAGCCATCTGGATCACCGTCTTCACCTGCTCTGTTTTTCCCAGGACCCACTAGGCACGTCTATGGCATACCAAGCTTGATTGCATGCCTCAGGGCAGCCCCTCACAACCTTAGTGCACATCAAGATCACCTGAGGAACAGGGATCTGGGAACGGTGATTTTCACAAGCTCCCCAGGTAACTTTGACACAAGTTGTCCACTGACCCCACAATAAGAAACACACTGTTGAAAAAGGTTTTAAACTCCAAGTTGGTTGCTTTTTGACAGCAACATATTATATAGCTGAATCAATTTTTCTTCTTCATTATTAAACTATAGCTTTATGGTAGAATTATAATTAGTTTAAGACTCTGAGTTGGCTATTTGAAAAATAAGTCTGGCACTTCACATTTTCTAAAGAACATAATCTCCCATTCTGATTTTCTATGTTCCACTTAAACATCTTTTTCTCCAATCCAATTTCCCTCAAAGCGTAAGCATAATTTCTTAGTGGTGGGTAATTACTGGGTTTGCAGCCTATAGATTTTAAAGAACTAATAAGGCTCAGAGGGACAGACCGGGTTCTAGCTCTCTGTGACCTTGATAAAAAGACTCCCTGATGCTGCCCATCTACACAAAAAGAGATTTAAAGCTAAATCAGAATGTAGAAAGTGGGTTGAAACCAGCAAGTAAGTAAAGATTTGAGTTATTTTTATTGAAAAACTAATAAAGACAAATCCTAATATTATTAATTAGATACATTTTTACTCTATGTACAAACACAAAAGAAGATAAATACTTGGATCTTAGAAAAGTATCTATCATTACAAATTCCAGAGAACCTGGAGTAAAATGTTAGGACATCACGGGGCCAGATGGAATGGGTTTAACTGGTAAAGCCACATACCAAATATTCCCAACCACACAACTGTAATTCTACTAGGTGAGCTTTCAATGTGCTTCCTATTCTTTTACTGTTTTGTTCAGAACAAATCTCTTCCAAGGTAAGACAACCAGAGTGACTGTTGAAAGCTTAGCCCAAAGTCATTTTTGCTCAATAAACAAATGTTTTCTTGGACCAATTTATGTAACATGAGACCGAGGCACTTATGTTAGTTATCCTGATCTTTCTATCCATTTTTGGCCCCTTCAACTTTTTGTTCTTTGGTCAGTTTTGTAAGAAATCATATAAGAGGGGCTTCCCTGGTGGCGCAGTGGTTAAGAATCCGCCTGCCAATGCAGGGGACACGGGTTCAAGCCCTGGTCCGAGAACATCCCACATGCCGCGGAGCAACTAAGCCCGTGTGCCACAACTACCAAGCCTGCACTCCACAGCCCATGAGCCACACCTACTGAGCGCAAGTGCCACAACTACTGCAGCCCACCCACCTAGAGGCCGTGCTCTGCAACAAGAGAAGACACTGCAATGAGAAGCCTGCGCACTGCAACAAAGAGTAGCCCCCACTCGCCGCAACTAGAGAAAGCCTGTGGGCAGCAACGAAGACCCAACACAGCCAAAAATTAATTAATTAATTAATTAATTATTTTTAAAAAGGATTGCTAGTGTATAGATACACAATGGATTTTGTAAAAAAAGAAATCATATAAGAGTTTCAAATTTATTATTATATATTTTGAGCATATTACTTCTTAATACTTTACCTGACTGCAAGTTCTCCTTTTCTCAATTCAAATTATGTTAATTTATATTCTTTTTCAAATATTTAAAACTGTTAAATTTTAATAACAATTGTTAAATAAAAATTATTAGTTGTTATTTAAAAGTAAAATGTCTTGGTTTTTCTTTAAGAATTGAATTTATAGAAATTTACACATTTATTCTTTAGCATTTCTCAGAAAATATCTAGCTACTTCTGCCTTATTTGTAGCTACAGTAGTGAGAAACACTGCTCTTTCTCAGCAGATGTAACTACCCCAAATGTAGCTAAATTAGGAGGTAAGCAGGCCAAGCTGGTGAGGACATACATATTCCCCACATGCGGGGACATCTGAGCCACAAGCAGCACAGGCCAAGGTTTATTTAACACACTGCGTGTAGGAGGTTCATCACTTCCCCAAACATCTACTGATCTATAGATACTAGGCCCCAGTTTGAAAGGTGAATACATTTAGTGTTACATACAATCTTTTTTTCCGCCCCAAACGCAGTAGCTCTGGTTAGATTTAAATAAGAGATTCAAAGGTTCCTAATCCTCTTATAGGCTCTGGCACTGACATTTAATAAGGCATTGACTGTTGAGATGTCTTCCTTGCTTTTGTTTCTTAAAACCATACAAGGAAATATCTCCTGTCATAATTTAACAGGCTCTAGAAGAATAACCCCCGCTTAAGTTAGTTTATGTACCTAAGAACAAACAAACAAAAAAAATGGGTTTTTTTTTGCTATTACCGTTCCCATTTCTGTCACAAAGAGAGCATTTTTAGAGAACTGTCAGGGGAAGTTTTGCTCAGGAATCTAAGTATATGACTGAAGAGGAAAAATGAGCTGCACCTGAATAGCAGAAGGCACTTTCGGAGGCAAGCACACAATTGGCCACAGTTAGAATCAAGGGTTGCTCCTATAAATTTATTCACTATAAAGTTTCCAGACTTTCAGAGCCTCTGGCTAGGAACCCAGTAGTTGGCAGCAGAGATCTGCAGGTCCATCACACTAAAGGGAAGTGTTTAGGGCACAGCCAAGTGGCTGGCTTCTTCTAAAGCACACAGTTCTCTGGAAGTGCTTCACAGGGAGTCTGTTCAACTTTCCCCACGGCACATGAGTACCACCATTTCTGCCTGGAGGGGGAACTGGCCCCAGTGCCACAGCCCAGGCAAGAACAGAGAATCTCAGGCCGGGGAACTACTAAATATTTGGATACCATTTGGGAAATAGTTTATGTTTGGTAAAGCATGTACCTTTATCCCAATGTATCTTCAGGAAAACATAAAATGCTAAAAGGGAACAAAAAGCAACAACAACAGCAACAACAAGAAAAAGAAAACTGGACAACGCTGATCAGTTCATTCTACTTCAACCAGAAGAGGAAGCTTACACAGGAAGTTGGATCCAAAAGTGATTAATTTTTCTAAATTACAAAAAAAGTTTCTGAATTTCAAAAGTAACTCATGAATACATTCTTGAAAAATTTCAAACCTTAGAAAAATATA